CTTAATTAAGCCTATTCGAAACTAAGTGTCAAAATAGAATCTAAGTAAGTAAATTAAATGTTATTATTTATTGAACTTAATTTCACATTCTAATGCTCTCATGCCTGGAAAGAAAATATATCATACAGCTATCGTGTTTAATGCCAATATCACTTGTGTTGAGAGAACACCTAGATTTTTGTCTTTAACTAAAAGGCAAAAGATGGCCCATGGTTGTCATGTTTTTAACTGTGTTGAAAAAGCATGCATTTTTCTCTAACAAGTCCTTACAAAGTCTTGCATGGGCCATCAAAGTCATCCTATCCTTAGTAGTAGCAGTCTGGAATGTCCCCCTTCTGCCCAGTGAGGTTCATCTCTGTGATGGCAGCAGTTAGGGAAATGTTTTTTTCAATTCACCTTGTATTTCTGAAGAGTAGAGCTCTTATGTATCATTAACATGCAAATGTTCATGCATTTGAAGTAAAAAAGTCCTGTAAAACACAAAATTTGAGCGAAACCTCAGGAAATGTTTTTTTTGGAAACAGGGCCCTTTTGTTTGCTGGAAATTATTCCCAATCCAAACTCATGATAAACATACAAATTGGATTCCCACTTACACAACTGTGCAAGATCAAACTTGCTCACTTCCTGTTTTCAACAACAAAGGCAACGCTCAAAACACGAAATACAAGTAGTAGAAAGTCATCCGCTGAAACCTGTTGGTCATAATCTAGTTCTGATTCATATTCCAGGAGAATTGGACAATTGTTGCTCCATGTGCCTACAGTTATTTCCTCTGCCATTGTGTGGTACGCTTGTTTCCCTTGAGGGCATCCTGATTGTGATGCTATCTAAAAGAAAATAGATTTCGGCCTGTCCTAAATAAAATTACCTTGACTGTTGACGTCTGTGTTATTGGCTGGGGTGTAAGCAGTAGAGAATTTATGGTCGAAAAGGCATTTACTTTTTATTGCGTAGCTGATGCGGAATCTTTACACTATTTCAATGTGACTACATACAAAACATTTGAGTTGTGGATTTGTAGCGCTACAATTAGTGCAGTCGTGTATTAACTGATTATAAATGGCAGCTTATTTTTGTTGGAAATTAATACAATAACAACATTGTCACACATGGACTGGTCATAAGATGATCTGTCTGATGGATGTATACTACAGTTCTTATAGTATACATTTCTGCATTATGGAGTAGTTATAAAGGCAGTACAGTGGTTTACATATCTGTCTTTCATTGAGTCCCATTAAATAATAAAGACGTTTTCCTTTTTTACGTTGAAGAGGGCCGAGTTCTTCCATGTAAAACAGGCTCCAGAGACTTTTAGAAAAAATACATTTATTAGAGAGGCATTCACAGGAAGATCAAACTTGCTCTCTTCCTGTTTTTTACAACAGTTTTTTACTTTCAAAAATGGATACTTAGCAATTACATACTGTTCATTCACTGTGACTGGCTGTACTGAGATCACTTGTATTTGTTCTAGTTTACTAGATTATACAGCCAAAACATTATGACCACTGCCAGGAGAAGTGAATAACACTGATTATCATTATCATTGCACCTGTCAGTGGGTGGGATATATTAGGGAGCAAGTGAACATTTTGTCCTCAGGTTGATGTGTTAGAAAAATGAGCAGTGTGAGGATTTGAGTGACTTTGACAAGGGCCAAATTGTGATGGCTAGACAACTGGGTGAGAGCATGTCCAAAACTGCAGCTCTTGTGGGGTGTTCCTGGTCTGCAGTGGTCGGTAACTATCAAAAGTGGTCCAAGGAAGGAGAAGCGGTGAACCAGTGACAGGGTCATGGGTGGCCATGGCTCATGATGCACGTGGGGAGTGAAGGCTGGCCCATGTGGTCCGATCCAACAGAAGACCTACTGTAGCTCAATTTGCTGAAAAGCTCTGGCTCTGATAGAAAGGTGTCAGAACACACAGTGCATCACAGTTTGTTGGTATGGGGCTGTAGAACATTATGACCTGCAGGGTGCCCAGGTTATAGCCTCCATCACAAAATGGACAAAATACTTTCCTTCACTGTAAATGGCCAGGTGCAGAATTGAGATGATAGGAGTTCTTTGTGCTGTCTCTGTGTAGCTACAGTCTACAACAGTCAACAGTGCTTCACTCAAGAAGGATACACTTATTGTCTAATCCACAGAACACGATTTCAGTTTTGAGGAATTGTAAGCTGACATAAGCCATTTCCTTCATTTCAAAGGGGTTTTTAAAGGCTGCAAAGCCCCCAGATCCTCAAATGACCTAAATGTGGGAAATAATGGTCATGACTTGGATGAAATTTATGTGTCATCATTTCAGAAAACCTTACATATGGATAAAATATATTTTGGATGTTGATGCTGAGAACAGTGCCATGATAATTTGATACATTACAGTAAATACAAAACTCACTGAGAGTGAAGGCAGTTTTCCTAAAAAAGATAAAATAAAATTCAAACTCGCTGGAGGACAAATCAATTAAAAGCCTGTTATGTTCAACACACTTCAGCAAACCCCTGGTTTACTCAATAGTTTTGGTCCCATGAGGGTGAAAAGCATTGGATAATTGTTACAATTTTCTATTATCACAAAATGGTATCAAAATTGACAATTACATTATTCTAATATACAATGCATAGGCATAATCATGAAGTCATTAAATACAACCTCCTAATGCCTGAGGCATAGCAAGTGAGATAGCAACAATGCTCATCGTAAAGATCTCATGCTGCAGTTAACTAATTTCTTTGCAGGCTGCTGTATCTTCCAGCCTTATGGAATCTTTGCTTTAGGCCAGTGTGCAGAAACTACAGTTGTTGGCTTATATACAGTATGACATGGAATGCATTTGTCACATGTTGTAAAGTACATATTTCTAGTTGAAAACCTGACCTTTGCTGGTTAGATTATCCCAGGCTGTATGTTCAAATGTTATGAGTCACCAAAGAGAGTTTGGCCTGAATCTAAATTAAATGAAGAGTTTCTCCTGGAGTGACTTAACAGTCAGATGTGTAGTCAGGCAACAAGTGGCTAATGAGTTCTGACTCAATAGCAGACCATGCTCTTTTCACTAGTAATTATGGGAAGAGAGGTGTTGGTGAGGCGCCAAAATATGAGCCATGTCTGACAGATTTTGAAATGACATTTAAAAACAGAAATCATGTCTTTGCCAGTTCATCATCATGAGTCTATTTTTTGTGCACTTCATTAGCACTGTGCCTGTCATACACTTCCCTACTTTAAGTCATACCCAATATGGCAAGACGTCACCTTAACCCTGAGTACTTAGTCATGTAAGATCATATAAAATCATCTTACTGTATTTGTGATATAACTACTACAGAACATATACTGATGGGTGGTTAATTAAATAAGAAACAGATGCTTTGACAACCAATAGGTCATTGAATGGTTTGATTAATTTAATTTGGTGTGAAACATTTGCCATGACCCAGCTGACACCTGATTTGGGTTTTAAGACATGTTGGCTCCCAGTTTCATGGCGTGAATGACCCAGCAGAAAGACCAGGATTGCTATGTGCAAAGCCAACAGTAACAAGATAGAAAAAGTGGGGTTAATTCAAAATAATAAGCTCTATGTGTTCCTATACCAGCCATCTCAGCCACTGATATGTCTTATCACAATGTAACAGAACTTTCTCTAAAATATCAGTTCACTACTGAGAGAACTTTTCTACAGCTCCCCCCTGAAATCTAACGAGAAGATTTACACCTTTACTTAAAATTTAAGGAATGTGTCTGCCTAACTCTCTTTGTATTTAATTTGATCCATGGAGTCTGGACCAATACTTGACTCAGTATAAGCTTGTTACTGTCCTAAGGGACTGTTAGAAAAAGAAGACAGTATATACACAAAGAAGAGGAGAAGTGAAGGTGAAACAAGCCTCTTTAGTTTAGTTTATGGAGACAAGGAAGGAAGGACAAAAATAAAGAAATAGAAAATTAAGGGGCGTTGGCAGGGCCCAAGTGTTAGACAGCTTTATCTTCAAAATATAAAATGGTAAATCTATAAAACTGTCATAGTAATTTAATTAATATAGTAAATTAAAGAGATGTATGCATGCAAGTTATAAATAATTATTATCCCTCTACTCAGGTAGGCTTATGTAGCACTTTATACTTATAGTCACTTCAGATAAAAGCATCAGTTAAATGAATGTCATTAATACTTGTGTCTGTCTGGGAACTCTTCTACATGGAGTCTGCTACACATGATTCAGTCTCCAGTGCACTAGAGGATCAGGACTAGCCTGACAGTCAGTCAGTGAGTCAGTGAGTGAGTGAGTGAGTCAGTGAGTGAGTGAGTGAGTGAGTGAGTGAGTGAGTGAGTGAGTGAGACCTGAAAATGACCTTAAGTCTCCCCTCAAGTCTCCCCTCTATTCATTCTCAATGGGATACTCTAACCTGGCTGTTTAACACACATCAACATCAGCACTCCCCTCAGCTGAAAGCATGGCTTTGGAAGCTTTTGGCTATAATGGCTTCTTTGGAGGGCATTATATTATTATATATTATATATTTGGAACAGCATTTTGATTTAAAATGAGTGTAAAATGTCTGGTTGTGATATGAATTCAGTAATATTTTGTATGTAAACTGTATGTTCAAATAGCTGATTATGACCCTGTCGCCGGTTCACTGCTTTTCCTTCTTTGGACAACTTTTTAAATAGGTAATTACCACTGCAGACCGGAAACACTACACAAGAGCTGCAGTTTTGGAGATGCTCTGACCCAGTCGTCCTGTCAAAGTCACTCAAATCCTTATGCTGCCCATTTTTCCTGTTTCTATCACATCAACTTTGAGGACAAAATGTTCACTTGCTGCCTGAGATATCCCACCCACTGACAGGTGCCATGATAACCAGATAATCAGTGTTATTCACTTCACCTGTCAGTAGTCAGTGTTATGGCTGATTGGTGTATACAAGCACATAGTGGACAAAGGAAAAGTAGAAAGCTGAGCATTGAGGACACAGTATGAAATATGTGTGTGTGGAAAACAAAATAATGTACAGTTACACTGACCAGCCAACAGCTTTACACACCATCGAAATGTCTTATCAATTGTAAAACTTCAATTTCTGTGGTTAAAAAAAAGTAATGTTGGTATTACAGTAAAGTGCTATAAACCATTTAACATTCCCATATAAAACACGACAACGCAGTGCAAGCAATGAGGCAAGACAAGTTCCCATGTTTGTTTATCTATTAGTGATGATTATACATTTACTGAGGGCAAAGTGAAATGAAGTGCTGCTTGACACCGAGTTCATTAATCTGTAACGGGAAACAGTGGGAGAGTGGTTATTGAGAACATGACTCCCTGCTGTTAAGCTGTTCTGGTTGGCAGGCATAATGATGTTAGTTTTACATTAACTTGATAATATTCTGTGCCAGAGGCACTACAAAATATGCTTCCATCAGGGAAGATTGGGATGAAACTAATTCTTACCGATGTTGACAGTTTGCTCGTTTGTTGTAGAGATTTTTTTTTTCTTCTTTTTTAGAGATGTTTTTGTTAGAGTTGAATTTTGGGCATTTAGCTGCTCGTATACAGATACACTATACTTGCATAAAGAATGACAAACTACTAACAGGCAAATACATTTTTTCCACCACTGCTAACTTGTTGCTAACATTATTAGGCATTGCCATTACCAACCATGTGAGAGCATTCCTATTTGTGTTTCCCTACAGTTTGTCTTAATTACATATAAAACATAACAAATAGTAAATTCACTTATTATTGGCTACAACTGGAGCAGTTAACAGATGTTAATACTAGTAAGTGATATTCGCTCATGTAAATGAGTTTGTTCAAGCATGTTATGAACCACTGTCTGTTTTTATGTGATTTCCCATTCATGTGAGGCTGTACGTGAGCTAAATATAAACATACACACAATGACAATCCTAACATGCTGATGTTTAGCATGTATAATGTCAGAAAGCATTTAACTTTTGATGTTATGTCCACTTCCTGTTAGCCAGAGTGGCAATCTTAGCATTAGTAAAGTTGGGTTACAATGGAAATTATTTTTTTCCAGTCCATACACGTCCTTGTGTGGAAACTCAAAACTTGTGAGAGTGATCTGAGCTGAGTGTAATAGGACTAATACTGGTGATGTTCGGTCTCATTAGGGTGTTGACAGTATGCTAGTAGTCACTGACAAGGTTACCCAAGAAATGCCAGAGCATGGAGATGACCAAGAGGACCTGCTGCGGCTACCCACGATAGCTGCTGAGGATGCTAGCATTGCTACTGGTATTAGCAACCATCCTGAAGAGTGCCACTTCTTACCCAGCATGACCATTTGGTAATCAGAGTAGTTTTAACAAAAGCTGGTTGGATCAATATGCATGAATGAACTTGAGCCAGCAGCCAGAGCACATATAACTAAAGAGTTTATGAAACACTCGATGGGCATGCCAGTATAATGCAATTTGGGCAGTCAGGAAAACTCTCCCAGCAATCCGGGCTACCCTGTGTGACTTCATTGGCCAGTCAAACCCACACATTCATGAAAAGTTTGTTTTGAATCGAGGATGTACTGAAAAGTCCCAAACACACATCTTTTCTGGACAAACAATGCCTACAGCCCATGGCTTGTCATCATGGCATCAGTGAGGGAAAACCACCACCACCCTCCTCACCAGCTACTGCAGAGAAAAGAGGAATTGGGACACATCATCACCAGCACACAGGAGTTGCTATCCCTCAAGAGGACCTACAACGATGCATCTATGGACTTTGTATAAACTGATATCTCCTATCTCAATAAGGTGTCAGCACAGTTTTTCTTTTCTACATTGTTTGAAAAACTATTTGAGGAACAGCAGTGGGGACTCTTGAACCAGTGATTACCAGTTACCTGGCACTGTTGGCTATAAACACAGAGAACGAGTAATAATCGGTCAATGAGCACCAGCTGTAACAGTCAACTCACCTGCCGCTGCTCTCATAAGCCATCTCCACACCTTTCCCTCTCCTGCAGCTAAATGAACCAAGCCCACCTCCACTTATAAAATCTATAATATTTTTTGTAAATGACTACATGTTTTGGATTTTCATCCTTGTTCCCACAGCTGTGCCTTCTGCTTTTGTTGCTCCACCTGCACAGAGACCAGATCAGGATATTAGCAGCTGGACCTGTTCTTATGATCAAAAAGTGTAGATTAGGACAGGTAAGTTATTCAAATGAATGGCATGTACATTAATCCTTTTTCTAGTGTTCGCTCAGTAATGGCAACCCATTCATCTTAGACACAACTTGGCACACTGATTCAGTTCTTTGTAATTGGCTGCTGTTGCTTTCAGATATCAATCTATTTTAAAGGTGACTCAGAGTTTGAAAAATTGTGATGGGACCTGCACACCATTGTAAAAGAAATTTAAATTAGGTGGGGCACTTTTCTGTGTAATCATCAACTGTCTAATCTTCATCTTCTACCAATTACTGATGGTGTAATCTGTCTCGTGGAGCCTTGTGCCATAACAGACCTCCATGCTCTTGTAAGTACTCTTAATATTCCACAGATTTGTCATAATGGGTAGAATATAACACAATCATTCTGTTTCATTACAGGAGGATGATGAAGACACATTATCAGCTGCCACAGAGAGGGAAGATGCAGAGAGGCCTGTTGAGGTTTAGGGGTCAGGATTATTATCTGGATCATTGGGGAAAAGAGTTGTTCTCCTCTAATAGTGGCAATGTTGTGGAGAACCACACATGCCACTATAATGTCACAAGCCCTTTCTTGGGGTGACCCTGAGCCTACAAAGGCACTGGAACCGGGCGTTGAGTATCCCGATGGTCATCTCCACTCTGGCTCGTTTCATGCAGTGAGCCAAGTTGTAGTGTTGCTGTGGGCCAGGCTCAGGGTCAGGGTAAAGGGTCAGCAGATAGCGCTGGCAACTCTCCTATGAAAATACAAGATACAGTTTAATGTTTCAGTTGCAATAGGAGGAAACAAAATATTGATCATAGGATATAGCTGTATACTGTATATAAACTCACCACGGGCAAATCTGGAAACATTTCGTGAGTCATGCACAGACCCAGGCCACTTCGCTTCCACATTGTTTATCATGTAGGCTGCATCACATGATCTTCACAGTGGAAAACAGTAATTAGCTGTATAGTGAAGTATATTTCATTTGGAATGTTAAAGGCTACTATTTAGGGCTACCTGTACATTAATGCTGTGGACAGATCTCCTATTCAGATAATCTCCTTCATTTATTGAAGGAGCTATGATAGGAATGTGAGTACCATCTATGTAGCCAATCACACCTGGAAACCCTAAAATACATCAAATTGACTGATCAGTGCTTCAAGTCTCAGAGCTTTATGACATAAATTAATTATTGCTTAGACTGATACCTGCAAGTCTGGTGGGTCTGTGACTTGGGAACACTACAAACGTGTATAGTAGCCGTTTCAGTGCAAGTGTCACATTTCGGACAGCCCGACAGACAGTTGAATTGGACACATGCTCCGCATCACCGATAATCCTCTCCCGACGGACATTTCTGCGGAGTATCTGTGTCTCGACATCAACTGGCTCTTCATGAAAAGGACACGCCATGTCTGCCACTGCTTTCAGTCTGCAGCCTTCAACTTAAGAGCAGGAGAAACTCAGGGTTAGTTGAAGAAAACCTGCCAGCGAGCAGGTTAGGTTCACGGAGTATGTTGCCAGGGTAACTGACTCAGAGTTAAACTGAACTGGCTTTGTGAAACCGAAAAACCAGAGTTTCCCTCATCTCAGGGTTAACTAACTCAGTTTTCACTAAACCTGCTTTCTGAAACGGGCCCCTGGTAAAGGTGCGAAAGTCCCCATCTGAATTCCAGTCAGCGGGACCACACAGCAGGAGGGATACTACCAGCAGCAGTGGATTACTAAAACTCATGTCCTGCAAATCTTTCCTGGCTCAGGCCAAGACAGGGGTGGCACAGTGGAACTACAAAAGGATTTTGGACCTTATGCAGTCAGATGTAATCCTCCTAACATAATTCAACTACATACCAATTTCTAGGACCAACATTTTAAACATCAGCTGAATAAATGTGAGTAAAACAATTAACTTAAAATGCTTATTTTTTCCAGAAACCTCAAATACCCCACCACTGCCATTGCAGTCTTCACCAAGGAGCCCCGCACTGGACCGACAAGCGATGGCCAGTGTTTGTCTTGGACCACAAACACTGGCCATCACCAGAGCACAACAAAAACTAAGACAATCAAAAATGTCTCTCGTGTAGGCAGCCAAAATCCCGCTACCAAAGTTTTACTTTTATAGGCAAGGACCAATCAGATATCACTACTGCTCCACAAAAGGTGTTTAAATCCAATTGTGCAGAGCCATTGAAGATTTTTAAAGACTGAATACTTTCAGTATGTACTGCAACAAAGTGCAGAATGGAGGTTTTATGCATATGCTTTAAATGTTTTTTAATCATCTGTTTTCTTGTTGCACAATTCTTCCTTTCAATTATATACAAAATGTTAGTCATTGTTTTTATTATTTTCACATTGCTGTGCACTTCCTCAGGGGCCCTGTTGGGCAAAAACACTCACCACAGACCCAAAACACCCAAATCTATAGGATTATTAACAAAGAAACACAAAAAACTCTACACTAAATCAAGACAAGCAATAGAAACTGAAAGGCAGTAATACCAGCAGTCCCATGCCAAAAGCCTCTTGCTTCGATGCTGGTGCAGGCTTTTAAGCACCTGTGTGCAGGTCAGGTGTACCTCGTTTAGCAATCAGCACAGCTAATGGGAACGGAATAGGAAAAGGACAGAACAGAGAAACACATATAGCCATAACAACATCATCCTTCACATAATATCTATCCTAGCACATGGGATCTAAATACAGTATATACAAGTAAATTGCAACTGTGGGTACCAATTAATCTAATTTGTTTTTGTTATTTCCTCATATTTCTAATTGATTTATCTTGTGTAATATCTGAATACCAGAATTGACAGTTATGGATCATAACTTCTTTTCCACTTTTCTTCTTCCTGCCCGGTCACATTGCCTCACAGTAGCTATAATTTCCCTAGCTATACTTTGTTTATTTAACTTATCTATATTTGTTTTAGTACTATACAAATTCCACTGAAGGCTTATGTTTGAGTAAATTTAATAAAATATAGATTTTAAGCTAATATTATAATATTTCACTTTTCTTCTACAAAGCACTGGTGAACTTATTTTCATTATGAATAATGGTTATTTTAGAATGCAACAGAATCATCTGATTCTGAATTTTGTAGTGTAATAATACTTTAAATTATATACACATTTCACATTGGTGGTGAATATCGTCCATTCATCCAGTCTCGCAGAATTCTCACCCGGCCTTCAAGCAATGCACAATGAATTGTGCTGGTTTATAGGCACCTCAACATGCACCCAATTGTTTTTCTAGAGGCTGCAGAGGGGTCCATGTTTAAAGGAGACATATAGTGCCCCATCCATCCATCCATCCATCCATCCAAAATATTGTATCATGAAATGTATCTGTCATCATAATGAATCACAATTTGACTGTAAAACAGAAATGTATTGTGGGTGCAGCGCTTTGAGCATCACTATAATGCAGGTTGTTCTTCATATGCAGGTGTTTGCTAAACAGGTAACAGGCTGCTGCTCGGTACTGATAACTGTCTTTATTAATGTTAGCACAGTTCATGTGTGCAGACACAAACTCACCACATCTTACAACTGACAGCTGATCCAGCTGTCACCATAATCAGAAACTGAGGTCACTTCACTTGACACTTGAGAGGAAAGGACGTCTCAATTCTGTAAAAAAACATTTCCTGATTCCTTCTTTCCTTCTCCTCGTTCCCAAATGTGGATGCAATTAAGCGTCATGTGACGCACCCACAGGGCATAATAAGAACATTTTAAAGTAATATGCTAATTTACTTTTCTTTGCCATCCTTGTTCCCTCAGTTGTGCATTCTCCAGTTGTTCCTCCACCAACAATCAGACCAGCCCCCGTACACCTGAGACACCAGACAATAATATATTTTTATAACTTCTCTTAAGAAGTTACTGTGGCCAACATATGTTTTAATTTATTGTACAATCTGTGATGATAAAATGTGTAGAAATGAATGCATCTCGCTCAAAAAGATTAAAAGTGTAATTCATCAAACAATCTGTGATAACAAAATGTGTAAAAATGACTGTCACTACTTGTTTTTGTTCCTTGTTCACACAGCTTATGCCCTTTGCTTTTGTTGCTCCACCACCAGAGACCAGACCAGGATATTAGTGACCTGTTCTTATCACCAGTTCAGTCAGACAACTCACTTTTGAAATGGTTTATTACAGCAGCATAGCATAGTTAGATTTTGGCATCTAGGCTCTGACCACTCCCCGCAGATATGTTTACATAGAGATATTGGGGAGTGATGAGCAAATACCTTAAAGCCCCTAGCCGGAGACTACAGGTGGATGCTGGGGCTTACAGAGCAGCACGTAGCAATGGCTTACAGAATAGCAGGGAGCAATACTGATGCAAGGCAGCGTGTGCTTGGTTATTGATTACAGAGTGTGAGGCATGTCGCGTGTATAGCAGTGCAGCTCAAGTTGACTGCCTGAACCAGCTCGCAGGCTTTGCTCCATAAAGTGTGGATGAGGACAGATCAGGGACTGTGGCCTGGGTCCCACCATAAGCTCAAACCAGGAAATACCCTTTCATTATGGCATCAATTGTCCAAAGTCAGATATATAGTGTCAACCGGTGTGGGTAGGCCTCAAGGGATTGTTGGGCCAGTGACATTTTTGCTTCACGCCGTCGGTGCAGGATGTGCAAGAGAATCTGGTTTGCTGATAGTCCTTGTGGCTGAATATACTACCAAAGCAGTTCAGACATTCTGCCAGCATTCCTAACTTACAAGAAGGCCATCTGCAAGTCTGTGCTTCATGACCTGAGGCGCACTGGTAAGTCATCCTCAGATATGGCAAATCAGGTGAATGAGCTCATCTGGCATACCTTCGTAGAAGGTCTGGGATGCAGAAGACTTTTGGTCACCTTGTAACAGTATTTTGGAGCACATGATGAAGCAGATGCGTGGTGTGGAATCTGTTTCTTCTCCCTACCGGAGTACTGGCACCAAGAGCCAAGGTGTTGCAGTCTGTCCACACCAGGAAGGTGGAACGGAAAGTGAACTTGTCATCTGGCACCATGTCAAGTTATGCAATTATGAGCGAGAACTGGATGGTTGCCTCCTGGGTGATGGTGTAGCCTGTGACAGAGAAGTCTCTAACCCATGTATCAGGGGTTAGCCAAGAGGTACAATGATGTAGGGGTGGAGAAGGCTAATTACCACTGGGTAGATAGGTGAGAAATGTATGCATCTCCTTTTCACTGGTACTTATAACATACATAGTATTTCTGGAAAAAAAAAAAAAAAAAAAACACAACAAACCCAATCCCACTGCTGTGCCAGTGCCCCAGCCACCCCAAGTTACACCTGCTGCAATCCACAAGCTACAGACATTGTCCCAAGGAAGCATGGAACCCCCAGTGAAAATGGGTAAGTTAATACCAATATGTAGGACCTACATTTTACACATCTTTGTAAATGATGTTTTGTACTGAGCATAAGAGTAAAATTATCAACTTAAAATTACTTTTCTTTGTCACAGAAACCTCAGATACTCCATCCCTGCCATTAGAGTCCTCACCAAGGAGTGCCCGCACTGGTCCGGTCAAGACTGGTGGGGGAGTGTTTGTCCTTGATCACAAATGGTGGACATTGCCAAAGAAAGAGGCTATCAATGGTCTCCTGCAAAATTACCACAGACAGAAAGACATGCTGAAGCTTGTGGATCACGATTATGCAGCCATGATCCATCAATCTGCCACGGATCAAACAGTCTGCTTCACCCCACAACCAGATACCACTTACAGTATACAGTAGATAAAACATCTGGCAAAAAAAGGTAAACAGAAGCTCATCATTGAACACCAGTCCAGAAAAACTTTGAGACTGTGGTTTAAGTTTAACTGAAGGAAGTGAGAATATCCATGTCCCAGTTGTACAACTGCCACCAGCCATCATGAACCCAGCAGATCCAGAGCCAGCACCTGATATACCACTGACAAAACTGGAAGACAGAAGTGGAGAGCGGAAGAGAGGAAACTCCCAGACCCTCAACCTCAGGGAATAATGTGCCATTGCCATCACAGAGTTTAAGCAGGGCCCAGACAGCAAACACATTCACACAGGATTTCCAGGAGTGGCAGGAACATACATCTACTGCCCAGCTAAGTTCCTTGCCTTATACAAAGACAGAGGCATGACATGGAGGGAAATTCAAACCTCACCATTCTATGGAGTAGATTTAATAAATCAATGACTATAAGCACAGAACTTGTTTCACTTGAATTCATCTATGAAGCCCTGCTCAGCTCATTTCCATTATGAAAAATAATCTTCTTCTTTAATCTTTGAACGCAAAAGAATATCAGTCTTTATTACAAATATAATTTTTCAGTATAATATTACATATTATATTGATATTACATACTGTAATTTGGGTGTTCCTCTATGGAATTTTAAATATTTAATTATTTTGAATAAATAGT